GCAAATCTAGGCAAATAGCTGTTATACTGTATTTTAAAAATTTGTATTATTTTAAAAGTTTTAAAATACATCTTCCATCCATAGTTGGTTGAATCCATGGATGTAGAACCCACAGATACAGAGTGCTGACTGTAGTATGTTAGATGATGATAAGTGCTAGGAGAAAAATATATCAACTAAAGGGCATAGAAGTTTGGGAGGGGTTGCAATTATAAATAGAATGATCCAGGGAAAGTTCACTGAGATTGTACTTGAGCAAAGACCTGAAGGAGGGGGAGAGCAAGCCTTGAGGCAATCTGGGAGAAACATGGGCAAAGAAAATATCAATTGTAAAGGCCCTGAGATGGTTTGCATGCTTGGCATTTCAAAGAAAGGCGAGGAGGCCTGTGTGGCTGGAGAGTGAGTAGGAGGGAGAGAGGTCATGGAGAATCCACCATACAATGCCTTGTAGGCCATTATCAGAGCTGGCTTTTTTCCTCAGTGAGACAAGGAGGATTTTAAGTGAAAGAGTGATATGATGTTGCTTACATTTTAAAATTTTTATATAGTTTTATTAAAGTATGATTAGAATATAATAGACTGTGATAATGAACAGATCTGTAACTCTCAAAAGTTTCCTCATGACTATCTATAATCCATTCCTTGCTTCTTATTGGGCAACTACTAATCTGCAGTCTGTCACTATAGATTAGTTAGCATTTTCTAAAATTTTATATAAATGGAATTGGATCAACTAAACAATTTGTCTTTGCGAGTCTTACCAATGAAATACCTTAATTGTGGTTGGTCAAATTCAAATTTTATTTTATTTTGCTTTATTTTTTTGAGATGGAGTCTTACTCTGTCACTTAGGCTAGAGCGCAGTGGTGCAATCTCAGCTCACTACAGCTTCCGCCTCCCAGGTTCTCCTGCCTCAGCCTCATGAGTAGCTGGGATTACAGGTATGCACCAGCACGCCCAGCTAATTTTTGTATTTTTAGTAGAGATGGGGTTTCACCATCTTGGTCAGGCTGGTCTCGAACCCCTGACCTCATGATCCACCCACCTCAGCCTCCCAAAGTGCTGGGATTACAGGCGTGAGACACCATATGCCTGACCTCAAATTTTATTTTTTTAGTGGTTCTACTTTTGAGAAAATTTGTATTTCACCTCTCCCAATGGATAGATGCTTTATTTCAAGATACATTGCAACCTGTTGTCAACACTTTAAACCTGCCAATCATTGACTCCTTGAAGCAGTGTAATTTGTTATCTATGCCTCCTAAATATTCCTCATATCACTATCCCTTACTGTGGGTGGTAATTTGTTCACTGCAGTTGCCAATCAGCATGCGTCTCTCTTCAAAAGGAATATTTTTTCACAGAATCCAACATTTTCCTGAGTATGTGGCTTCATCTTCCCTTGTTATGGTTAGTGGAAGTCACAGAGAGAGCAACTACTGCTATTATTGGAATTTCATTCCATACTGTGGTCAGGGTCTTCAATTTATGTCACAAAGTATGCAAGCATTACTTTGAACTACCTCTGATAGAGCTTAGTGGTTTAGGTCATTACTTGCAAATCAGTGAGTCCTGTTTCAGCCATGAAATCAAGTATCACGGTAGCCATGCTCTGGGGAGAGAAATAATGGGCTTTTGGTATCGTGTATACACTCATCAGCCAGCTATTGGTTATTTGGAAATTGTTGGTGACTGTTCTGCCCAAACCCTGCCACCTATTTTGCAATGTCTAGTTGAGCACAGATCATACCACATCTTGGCATACATACCCAAAACATCCAATGTTTTTGAAATAAATGCAAAGCAAAGTGCAAGACCATGAAGAAATTCATCATAATATGTTGGACTCGTATTTGGTTAAATTTATGTGGTGTGATTGATTTGGAAATAATGTTTTTAATTCCCTTTTAGTGTATGTGTCAGAACAATTTCCTGTTAAGTAACATTATGTTTAACTTTTGTTTTTAGTATATTTTAGTTTAAATCTCCAGGGACAAATTTTTTGATTGAATACATCTGAGAGGCGAATTGTTCAACTCATCCATGAAATCATACAATGTACTCTTTTTTTGTCTGGCATCTTGCTTTCAGCATAATTATTTTTGAGATTCATCCATTGTGTGAATCAATTGTTCATTCCTTGTTATTGCTGAGTAGAATTCCATTGTATGGATGTACATTGATTTACTTGTCATTTATCTGTCGGTGTATATTTTAGGTGGTTTGCAGTTTCGGTCTTTCACAAATAATTAACAGAATTTAGTTGGGTCCTGCTATTTTATCCAGTCTGACAGTCTCTGAGGAATTGACTGTGTATTTAGAACATTTATATTTAATATGATTATTAGTGTGGTTGGGTTTTAATCTGTCATTTGTTTCCTAATTGGCCTAACTGTACTTGTTCTTTCTTTTTCTGGCACAGTCATTGGCCTTGACCTCCCGTAGTCAAACAATCCTCCTGCCTCAGTCATCCAAGTATTTAGGACTACAGGCACGAGCCACCACGCCCAGCAAATTTTTTAAATTTTTCTTTTCTTTT